GCCCGGCCTCCCCGCGGAGTACGAGGAGATAGCCCGGCGCGGCTTCTCCGACGAGGAGGCCATACAGTGGGCGCGGGACAACTACCTCCGCGATGAGATGGTCCGGCAGCGCCGGGCCCTGAAGGAGGTAGCCGCCCGCAAACGTGGGCACGAGGACGAGCACGGCGTCGTGATCCTCGACAGCCACGGCGACGAGGACGCCTCCGGACCGTCCAACCCGCCGCGCCAACCGGGGAGGGTTGCAGCAGGGACAGCGTCCGCGGCGGAGGCGGCAACGACGACGATGACGATGATGACGGCGGCGACTATACGCGGTTCTACAACCTCCTCGGCATGTAGAATTGCAAGGGCGGCGGGCGGCGAGGAGCAGCCTAGTAGTTTTTTCTTCTTTTTTATAAAATATTTTTAAATATGAACGAACTCGATGAAGTTTGATTGAATTTGCGCCGTGTTTGTGCCGTAATTTAAATTTAAAAAAAAACGTGGGCGCCGCGACTGGGGCATCACATCCCCAGCGCGCGGTTTAGCACCGGTGCGCCTAAGGGGGTGATTTTTAGCGTCTCATGAGAGGGCCAACCGCTGGAAATGCTCTTATCAGCCACGTTGCCTCTACCGAGAAAAATGAGGCCGGCAAGGATGCACAGCGACGACAAGAACTCGCGGCGGCCCGGTCATCCGGCGCACATGCGACGAAGCGCCCGCTTGCGGCTGGACGGCTACCCATAGACGCCCGGTTGGCGCGCGCAACTGCGCGGCTATGCGGCGGCGCCGGCATAATGAGTGTCTATCGCTGATGAGAAAAACCACAGCAAGAATCACACAAGATGCATCGACATTGACCCGGTGCATCCGTAAACAGGAAAACTGGATCAGGACATTGTCCATTTTCTTTCTTTTCTTCTTCTTGCCATCAATCAAAGATCTCTATTTCATCTTCCGGAGTGATTCTTCACAGGAAATATAGGAGTAAATCAGGAAGAGCAAGTGAAAACAGAGAAGGAAAAGCCCATCGATTGAGAGATGCGAAAAGGGAAAAAGGTACCATGCGTTCACTTACTCTTGCACTGGATCGAGCGGCAACTGCTGCTGCTTTTCATCACATCGCTAGCGGCGCCCCCGTCCGTGCGCCTTGGCTGCTCCTCCACGGGACAGAATGGCCACCGCGCTGCACGCGCCCGCGCCGTTGGATGCACCCTCCCGTGTGGAGCGCCCGCGCCCGTCCGCGTCGCGTCGCGCCCTGCGCCCGGCTGCCGCCCGCATTGCGCCATGCACCGCGCTCCGGCCGCTCTGGCACATGGAGCCCAGAGGCACTCGGACTCTTGAATGGCGCCTCCAACGCGTCGCGCCTACTCCGAGGACGAGCGGGGCGGGAGATCCTCATGCCGCCGGTGGTGCGGCCGACCGGCCGTGGGCGTCTCCGCCTGTGCCCAATCGGGCCGGCACGCCCTCCCCGGAGTCCTCTGGCACAGCCTTCTCCGGCCTCCAACGCGAGGCTCGGTGGCGTTCCGCCCGGGTCGTGGTCTCTCCACGAGTTGCCGGAGAAACGGCCGACCGGCCATGGCAGTCGCCTCCCGCGTCGGTCGTGGGGATTGGGGATGGATGCTGCTGGGGATCGCTATCCCTGGCCGCTTGCTCCTTATCCAATTTGCTGACCAGGCCGGCCCTAGGCTGGCTTCCCCAGCGTGGCCCAATTTGCATAAGATTGGGCCACCGCTTTTCAGCCCTTTTTTTTCTGTTGAGTTTTAACATTCCAGAAAATATGTGGTCATTATGTGGTATGTTCAATATGTTTGCTTTTTAGCAATCTCTATAACATGTCTTATTACTATAAAGACATTGTTTTGTGATCGAGATTAAGTTCTCTCGCACAACAATGTTGATTTGCGATTGAGAAATATATATTTTTTCTCGCAAAGCAATCTCATTATGATTGAGATCAATTTTATGCCGCAAAATATTAATTCACCCTACTGAATTATCTTGCAACTAAATACAAGATCATCTCATTTAATTTGAGGTCTATACAATTCAAGTTTTTCACTTGAGCATCAAGTTTGCAACATCATTACTATTCATTACAATAGTAGTGTATTTCCGTTGAGTACGATGTATTCCAGAATGTATGTATCTCCATGTTCGCTACATGTCGAGATTAATACGTCTATTTGCAATTGAGATTTTTAATTTCTTGCAAATGCATATGCAAAACTCAAGGTGTCATCCTTAGCAATTTGAGATTCACACTAATAATTTTGAGCCACCTTCTTGAAATCTATTAATTTTGCAACATTAAGATGTATTTATATTACGCAATCTGTAATATAAATAAATTACCGGTTTTTCACCGGGAATGATATGTTCTATGTGTTTACCACATTGACATTCTTCATGAACATGTCACAGCGGTCGAAATTGATTTCTCCCGCACAACAAACTTGTAAAATTTTGACAATAACATCTCCTTCATTATATTAGGAAAACACAAGGTGATGAGTTGGATCTACTGTCCATGTGTAGACTATCTCTATTACTGTGAGATCTTTATGATCTTCAATGTGTTTATGTTCCCACAATTGAGGTTGAGCATTTTCAAGTTATACACTTGAGTCAATTTTTTGCATTCTTATTACAAAACCATGATGGTTTTTAGTTTACTTCTTGTAAATTAATTATCTCTAGATTGCCCCTATAAGTAATCGATGGCTAACAATTTGAGGCACTTGCCCTCAATGGCCACAACTTACTTAAGAGGGTCATGGACATCAAGATCAGTCTTGCATCCCATGGGATAGCGCGTGCAATCCAAGCCACGCCACCGGGATGCAAAGGATCTCAACGGTAATGGTTTGAAACTCACTTCAAACCCTCAACCTGACACCATCAAGCTGTCACGAGACCCTATGAGCATGGAGAGCATGATGGTTGAATATGCATCAACCGACATATTTGGAGGCTATACATTTAGTCCCTTAGTCTCCTTAGTGATCTATTTATTTATGTCCATTTATGATGTTCTAATAAGAACATGATTATTGTTGTCATCATATATTGTATATCACAATATATTGTATCAACACTTTGATACAAATTCATTTGTATGTATTCTATATATCCGATAGTGATTTTCTTGAGAATCTTCATGTCTATATATAGATTTCTACGAGAGTCAATCCGATGAAAAATGATATGTGCCTTGTGGGCATATGCACCACAAAATCTATACTCAGGGAAGTCCAATGTTTCCACTCTCATTGAGAGAAAGGAGATATTTTAAAATCGCTAGATGCGATGAGGTATTTGTTGACTCAACTCGAGTCATATTTACTATCCCTGTGGGTACTCGAGTAATGTCAGGATGCTTCATTGCTTCCCAAGTTTAACTCGTACCCTACTAAGCTATAGAGATAATTGTCAAAATGGTTTCCATAGCGAAACTTATGCTGACAAGAAAGAGAAATATATTTTCTTTACCATATGCAACGGATATGGCAAGCACATTTTCTATGTATCATCTGGATTGTACTACACATACTACAAAACCCGTAGCACATGTTGCGCCCAAGATAGTTTTCCAAAATGTCTTATACATGAAAAACTTGGCATACTCACCTTGGTCATCGAGAAATTGGGTTGAAACCAAAACTATCAGCAGTTCAAATAGTTTATGATTATTATGATGCTAAATTCTAATAACATTTGGATTTTATGTGCACTACAAGTGACACAGGGAAACTAATTTTAAAGCTCGCACAGCTTAAAGTCTACGCTGAAGCACTCAGACTCCTTGAATGCATCAAGTCAAGGTAAGTGGCTCTTTCCAGCCATTGAGTAGACTATTCAGGTATTTCATGGTTCTAAAAGACATATCTACATGATGGTCTTAAGTGTGTGCTGTATTCACACGAAACCATTGGCTCATTATCCTGACATCGATTTCAAGCAAATCGAATGGATAACATTGCCGAATTCTCCTTGAGGGCCTTCTCTATGGCTTTTGGATTGAAGTTTAGCAATTTGTCCTAATGTCTAGACTCAAAATGGTTTGGTAGAATCCTTTATCCAAAGAGTTAAGCTCATTGCATTATCTTTACTTTGGAATTGCAACTTACGAAATGTTGGAGTCATGCAGTTTTACACGCTCATGACAGAACTGCATAATATTATTCCCCTCTATCTTTGATATGTGGATATCTACCAAGTATTTCCTATCTGCGGTAATTCGGTTGCATACCGATATCACCACCCGACATACATCATTGGCCCCTCAACATATAGTTGGGATCTATGTGAGGAATAACTGTATTTCCGTCAATACCTCGAGCCCTCGCATGGGGAGTTATTCAAGGCCAGTATGCTGATTCAATGAGGAACATTTCCAGGCATCAGG